GTCACATCCACAGGCTGGGTGTTGTTTTTGCTTTGGCTCCATCTCTTCATTCTTTCTGGAGTTATTGCTCAACTCTTCTCCAATAGCATGTTGTGGGAGTTCATCTTTCAATGTCATACCTTCTTGCCTTTTCATACTGTTCATGGGGTTCTCAAGGGAAGAATACTGAAGTGGTTTGCCTTCTCCAGTGGACCACGTTTTCTCAGAACTCTCCGCCATGACCTGTGTGTCTTGGGTGGCCCTACGCAGCATGGCTCATAGTTTCAGCGAGCTAGACAAGGCTCATGTGATCAGTTTGGTTAGTTTTCTGTGATCGTGGTTTTCATTCTGTCTGCCCTCTGATGGATAAGGATAAGGGGCTATGGAAGCTTCCTGATGGGAGAGACTGACTGAGGGGGAAACTAGGTTTTGTTCTGATGAATGGGGTTGTGTTCCCTCCCTGTTGCTTGACCTGAGGCTTATGGTGGAGGTAATGAAGATAATGGCGACCTCCTTCAAAAGGACACCTAGCAAAAGTTAGATGTTTAATAAGTATGAGGCTCCTTTGCCTCCTTTTTTCCAGTCCACTTTTTAACTTCTAATTTTGAAATAATTTAGAGCCACAGGGAGATGCAAAAATAATGCAGAATGTCCCACATACTGGTCATCTAGCCACCTGCAGCTGTGACATTTTATATACCTACAGTGCATTACTGATTGACCAGCACAACAGTCTGACCAGTGTCTGCATGCACTCACTCTTTTTCTAAAACTTGTATATGTATTTATCTGTATAATCACTGCCACATCAAGACACAGTACTGCTCAGAACCACAAAGCAGCTTACAGTGCTGCCATTTTATAATCAAACCCCCCTCCCCTTCCCAAGCCCCCATAAGCATTTCTCTCTTCTCCATCTCCCCTTTGTCAATTTGAGGATGTTTTATAAATGAAATAATACAGTATTTAACCTTTCAAGACTGCCATTTTTTCACTCAACATAATAGCCTCATGATACATCTCAGTTGTTGCATTTATCAATAATAATTCACTCCTTTTTCTTGCTGGGTAGTGTTCCATGAGATGGATGTACTGCAGTTTGTTTGATCTTCACATATTGAAGGACAGTTGAGTTGTTTCCCAGTTTGGAGCTACAAATAGAGCTTCTCTGAACTCTTGCATCTAGGACACTTTATGTGAGCATGTGCCATGATCATTTTTATGTGAGCATGTTTTCATTTCTCTAAAATAAGTGCCCAAGATTGTGATTCATGAATTAAACAGCAAATATATGTTTAATGCTTTAAGAAATTCCTAAGCAGATTTCCAGAATGGCTGTTATCATTTCACATGCTCACCAAAAGCAGATGTAAGACCCAGTTTAAACTCTCTGCTTCCTTGCCAGCATTTGTTTCATCAGCATTTTTTATCTTAGTCATTCTAATAGGTGTGTAGTGGTATCTCATTGTGATACCCTAATAGCTAGCAATGGTGAACAACTTTCCATGTGTTTATTTGTCATCTGCGTATCTTTAGTAAAGTGTCCAAGTTCTTCGCTCAGTTTCTCATTGCATTATTTGTCTTACTGTTGAGTATAGACTTCTTTATTTTGAAAAGAAGCCTTTTGTCAAGTAGTTTGAAAATGTCTTCTCCCAACTGGTACTTATTATTTTATCTTTTTCACTGAGTCACCCACAGAGCAAAAGTTTTCCATTTTAATGAAGTCTAAATAGTTTAGTCTTTCCTTTCATAGATTGTGCTTTTGGTGCCATGTCTAAGAATTCTTGTCCTAATTTTAGATCACAAAGCTTTTCTCCTACATTTTCCTCTAAACATTTTATGGTTTTACATTTTACACTTAGCTCCATGGTCCATTTTTAGTTTATTTTTGTATAAGGTGTGAGGTGTAGATCAAGGTGGATGTTGTTGGCTATCAATGTCCTGGTTTGTTTCTGCCAAGTGACATAACAGCACCGAGTTCTATAGGAGCCATGGAAGTAAGATACTATCCAGGGGGGCAGGCTGTCTAAACAGTCCCTCCAGAAAATTAATCACCCTCCCCTGGTTACCAAGAATGAGTTTGAAGCTATGGAAACAAACATTTCACCACTGAGACTTCCTTCTGCAATCATATTATGCAACCCAATACTGGTCATGTAGGATCTCTGAGGAGTCTCCTGTTGCCCCTTGCACCATCACTTAGAGTGAATTTCTGTTTGAAACAGGAATTGAATGTTGAAAATTTCTGTGAACATAATAACATACCACTTAAGGATAGGAGAGGGTGTGTTTTATGGAAAGGTGGTCCCAGAGGTGGAAAGGGCCCAATGCAAGAATCCCTTCTACAGCCTCTTTGCAAAGAAGGACAATGTTTCATTCAACCAATATATTCTGAGTAGGAACTAGGTCTCTGATACAAAACAGACAAAAACAGACATGGTCTCTGCCCTCTGCTGGGGGAGGGGGTGGAGTATACACACGCACAGGCACACGCACACACACACACATACATGTGCACTCACACATGCACTACCACATGCCAAAAGCTGAGGATCCAACAGGATGCTCAGGGAATACATGGCAGGCACGTCTAACTCAGACTTTGGAAGCCAAGCAGTGCTTCCTGGAAGACGTGACACTGAACCTGAGACCCTAGTAGATGAGTTGCAGAAAGCCAGGTGGCATGGAGTGGGTGAGGTAGGAACAGTAATAAGAAAGAAAACGCTTCCAGGTGAGGGAGAACAGCATGTGCAAACGCCTAGAGGTGGAAGTGAGTGTGGTGAGGCAGGGATCTAATCATCCAAAACTTCTGGTGCTTAAGGGAAAAAATAAGGGATGAGGCTACCAAGATCAGACCAAGAGGGGCCTTGAAATTTCAGCCATTTCTTAAGGACACCAGGAATCCCCTGCAGGGCTCTGGGTAGGAGCCTCGAGGTTTGCACCTGCATTTTAGAAATCTCACTCTGGCAACACAGAGGCAGGTTGGTGGGAACCTAAGCAGCTGGCTAGGGCACTAGTTACGAGACTGTTGCAAGAGCTGTGGGAACCAGAATGGGGAATGTGGAGATGGGCTGATACATTTACACCAGGGTAGGTGCTGAGGCTTACGGAGAGAAGATGAGGTGTTTGGTTTGTTTGTTTTTTTTCCATTAATTTAATTGGAGGATACTTGCTTTACAATACTGTGTTGGTTTCTGCCATGCATCAACACGAATCAGCCATAGGTATTCACATGTCCCCTCCCTCTTGGCCCTCCCCCTCCCCTCCCACCCCATCCCACCCCTCTAGATTGTCACAGAGCACCAGGTTGAGCTCCCTGTGTCAAACAGAAAATTCCCACTATCTATTTTACATAGGGAGGTGTCTGTCTTTCCATGCTACTCTCCTTGCATCCCACCCTCATGATGAGGTTTGAAAGATCGCTTTGAGAAATGGAGAGATAAGTGTTGCAGAGAAACAGAGGTGAGTTGAGGGGTCAGCTGAGCTTGGAGCCTTTGCTTGGACACTCCTGCTGAGGAGGAGCCCGCTTGTTCCTTCCCCGTTGTGATCTTTCCATGATTGACAGTCCTGCCTGAGCAGAAGCCTGCTCCCCTGTAACTTCCCTGCCCCGGTCCAACTTCGGCCCTAAGGGACCGCACTGGATGGCTCCACCTCTGCTGGTCTCAGTAACCTTTTGACCATTTTAAAGACACAGGTCACATTCTCTTAAGCTTTTTCTTCAATTTACTCCACCCTAGTTCCTACAACCACTTCCCTCTTGGCACGGGTTCCTCTTCCAGGTAGTCCCTCCACCACCGACCTTTAACTTATTTATTTTTTATTTTTAAGAAAATATTTTGGCTCTGCTTTGCAGCATGTGGGATCTTAGTTCCCCAACCAGGGATTGAACCCTGCAGAGGGAGCTCGGAGTCTTAACTACTGGACCGCCAGAGAAGCCCCCTCCCACATTTAACCACACAATGCCTGAACTCTGGAGAGCGTCTGATCAGCCAGAAGACAGTTAGCATCCCCTTCGGGAGCCTGACGGTCTACTCTGAGCATCTCCATACTCTTCTGTCCTGCCAGGAACCTGTCTCTCTTCCCTGAACATATGAGGCAACACTCACCAGTGGCATCTGGGGTGCCTTGGGCAACGGGGACAAGCCTAGGTCAGAGCCTCAGCTGGGGAAACAGGTTTGATGAGGCCCTCGCTGACTCGCCTCCAATCACAAACAAGCTGTGTCTGGGAGCACGTGACCCAGCTTCACCAGCAAATGGATCACCTGCCTTTTTGCCTCTGGTGAGAATCAAGCACCAGGGGCTATTCACTGGCCCATGATGGGTGTGTGGCTTGGTGTGGAAAATAGAGGTGGGACTCTGGCTCCATCTTTAGAACCTGTGTAGCCTTATTGGAAGAGAGGATATAGAATGGGTGGTCAGAGGCAGGTCTTCACAGAAGAGTCAGGGCTACCGCTAGACCTTGAAGGGTGGGGGAATCTGGAGGTGAGAAGAGTAAGGCCATGTATTAGGAGGGCAAAGAAAGATGCGGAACTCCAGAGTACTAAAGGTGGACCCAGGGAAGGAAAAGAAGACTGTGGTCACAGCAGAGACTCTCTGCAGGCAAACATCGAGAGAAAATGCTCTAAAGGTAGGCTGGAGCCATATCGGGCTAGACTCTCCTCCAGGTAGGGAGGGGCCAAGGGCTGTTGAACCGAAGATGGAGATGATTAAAGTGGTGAGTGAGTGGGGAGTGGGTCTGGCAAAACTAATGATGAATTCTGAGCCCTGCTGTGGCCCAGGAGAACAGGACTCTAGGATGCCCAGGGAGGGAAAATCCTTTCAGGAGGTCATCCAGGGAACCGAGGGGAGCATCCGGCTGGCCTAGTTTTGGCTCCCTTTCGGGTGATTTTTCCAGAGGCCCTTCCTAGGGGGATGAGGACAGGAAGAACAGGAGACTGTTCAAAGCAGGGACTTGCTTGGGGCTGTGGCCCAAGGAAGGAAAGTGGTTTAGTAGGAAAAGCAGCACTGGGAGTCTGTTGTAGTCCAGAGCTAGTCTCTTTTTATTCTCTTAGTGCCCTTGGCCACTCCCCTTCTTCTCTGTGAGTTAGTTTTCCTTGGAAAAACAGGAGTTTTGAGATCTGTGACCCGTTTACTTCTATGTCCTCTGACTCAAGTTCTTTTCACAGTCATCCCAAGAGCGTTGGCACCAGCTCTGAGGTTTCTTGGGCAGTTCTGCCCTTGGTGTGATCACCATGCACAACAAGCAAAACAGGTCCCATCAGGCAAAGCAAATAAGTCCTCCCTGGCAATTCACACTCTTGTCACTGCAGAGCTCATAGTGCTGGCATCAGCTCCAGCAGGAAAACCCACATGCTGGTCAGTGACATCCTGGGCCCTCCCACGTGGGGTGTGGCATCGGCAGACCAAATCATGTTTAGCAAAGGAAAGATCATGTCCGGCTGTGTTGCTGAAGACACTGATGAAAGTCAGTACTGCCCTGGGGGACTGACTTCCTGACTGATTTCCAAGTTCTGAGTTCAGAACTAGGTTTGCCCTTTGTTGACAAATCTCCACCAGGATTAAAGGGAACTGGATGTTATCTTTGTCATCAAACACATCATGACAAATTATTCATTTGTTAATTCATCCAAAAAAATGCATTGAGCAACTGCCTTACTTATTAAATGTACGTGTGTGAATGGATGGATGGATCATGAGACTGAGGCTCTGGTTCACTGATCAGCTGGGCATATGAGGTAGGATTTTCTCTCTTACAAGTGACAGAAACTTAAATCTAACAGCTTAAGAGAGATAGAGAAAAAAAGAAGTACATTGATTTCTGTATCTGAAAACTTATCAAGAGTTTGCAAAAGTCCCTCTTTATCTTGAAGTTCTGGTTTCTTCTGTGTTAGCTTCATCTTTCAACATGCAGTGACCAGGCTCATCCCCAGCAGCTCCAGGCTTACATTCTTCCAGCTTGGCAACTGCAAAGAGGAGAGTGCCTTATCCCCAGGAGTTCTAGAAGAAGTCCTTGCGGGGATTCTCACTGGCTCAGCAGGGGTCTGGTGCCCATCCCTGGACAGGTCCTGTGGCCAGGACAGTCCAGCACTGAATCTGAGTTCTGGGCCACCCACAAAGTCTAGAGGTGATGTCAGCCCCGGAGAATCTCCAAAGACAGAGAGTGAGGACAGGGAGAAAGAGAACGGATCCCCAGCAGGCAAGTCCTCAAATGCCCTCTCACTGGGGAGCTCTGTGATTTCCCTGGTGGCTCAGACGGTAAAGCGTCTGCCTACAATGCGGGAGACCCGGGTTTGATCCTGGGTCGGGAAGATCCCCTAGAGAAGGGAATGGCTACCCACTCCAGTAATCTTGCCTGGAAAATCCCATGGGTGGAGGAGCCTGGTAGGATACAGTTCATGGGGTCGCAAAGAGTCAGATACGACTGAGCAACTTCACTTTTGGGGAGCGCTAAGGCAGTGCCTCTGCCTCTCAGAACCTCTCACCTTTCTCCCATCACCCCTAGCACACAGACTTCGCCCTCTTACAAGGTGGTGGGGGGGCAGTGATTCTTTTCACTGGTCACCTAATAGTAGCCACCACGGCTCCTCTTCCCACTTGAAGCTTTCCCCAACATCCTGACCTCCAGACTCCTCCCTGTTTCTGACCTCGGCCATATAACATTCCTGTCATCCGACATGACAGCCAATCATTAGGTGTATCTGGAGCAGAAAGAGTACCTAGACCTTTGTCTGACTCAACAAGAAAGACTGCCCTGAATAAGACCCTTTCTTCCCACACAGGAAACTTGCAATCTAGGCAGTGACGAACCCTGCATTGTTCTCTGAACTGCCCTGTGTGTAAGTCTAATCTCTGAAACAGAACTACCGGTTCTTTGTGGGCGAGGCCAGGCCTCATCCTTTCCCCCTGTCTCTGCATCCCTCCAAGCTGCATCATCTCCAGTGGACCAGTCTCGGGGCCTGGGAGCCCCCATCAGCAGAAACGTTGGCAGCCTTACCCCATGGGTCCCAGCCTTCTTGCTAAAGGATGCACAAGCTCCCAGCAGGCAGGATAGCCCTCCTCTTTGTCACCTCGCACTGCAGGCCCTGCTTCCCGCACACCTCCCCCTGGGCCCTTGGTCACCACACCATATGCACCGTCACCCCTAGCTTAACAGTGACTTACATCTTTCATTCTGAAGTCACTGGAACCGTGTGACCATGGCTGTCCCTTGGATCCAACCATTTCCAAGCCAAAGAGAGGAAAGCTCCTTCTCTGTTCTCTATCAGATCATCTTGCAAGGCCAGAAATGGAGTGGCAGCTTCACGATCTATGCCTGCAGTCAACAGATATGTTCTAAGCGTCCACCACTCGGAGCCCAGAACATGTACTGGGGAAAGTGGTGAATGGCAGTCCTGGCAGTCTGTCCTCCAGGAGCTCACACGCCTGCAGGAAAGACCATTGGCCCCTCCCCCAACCCTGGGAGAGTTTTTCATGCTCCCTCGTGTTCCCTTCTATCCCGTCAATGGGATGGGGATAGACTTGGTACAAGTACCCAAGTGTCCTGGTTACGGGGCAGGGGAGTGGGGAGGAAAGGAACAGAGTGGCCTCATGATGCACTGCTCACAATGGTCATCTGTCATTTGTCAGTCAGGTCCCTGGACTTAGCCTATGGACCCAAACTCCTCTCTCCCTCTCCTATTGCCCAGGTGGTGTTGGGGCAGTCACTGGCCACATGCTGGGGCATCTTGGCTTTGGACTTGGCCGTTGTTTAAAGCATCCATCAGGACTTTGCTGGGAGGCTCCTGTGCCCTACTGCTTACTCCTGTGTGCCCAAGTCTGCAGTGGGTGCACTCAGAAACCTGTGTGTCCCTTCTATCTTTCACATCAGCACAGGCCTGATTGCTGGGGACCAGCTCAAAGGACAACTGGTGGACAAGTCTACACCGAAATGAAGCAGCCAAACTGAACTGAGCCAAACGGAATGATCTCTCCTAGGCACACAGGAACTGATTTTTTTTTTAATAAGGAATATTTCCTGATCCATCTGCTCTTCACTGAGCATCTCTGGAAATTCTGAAGATGGGACTTTCTCTGGCAAATTTCTGCTCTTGTCTCCTTTGAATTCAGAGACGAAATTAATCCTGGGATCCCAGTCCGCTTTTCTCTCCCCCATCTCTTCTTTCTGACATTAAAATCTGTCTCTGCCTTTCATATCCACAGAGGAGGGGGCGGGGCTCCACTAATGAATGTTTGAGAAGCCCTTTGAGATCATGGATGAAAGGCACCTTATAAAATACAATTAAAAATAATAGGGGTAATTACCAGCTGGCCTAGTCCCTGTGGGATAATTAGAGTTTTCCTCGGGCAGATTCTGAATTCACGCAGAAACTCACGGGTTCACAAGGCTAAACTGATCTGAGATTTCAGGGGCCATTGTTATGCTTCTTCTGTTCTAGGATCATAGACTAGAATTTTTCTGAAATCTGAGGCACATCGTAGCCGTCCAGGGCTGGAAAGTATCTTTGAGATGATCTGCCCAACCCCCTTGGTATGCAGATGAAGACAGGGAGGTCCAGGGTGGCAAGGTGACCACCTCAAAGTTGCACAGAGAGTATGAGCGCCACAGCCCAAGAGGTCCAGTCCCTATAGACCCCAATTAGGGGATTCCTGTCACCCTACTCCTAATCAATAAAGCACATTTTCTCATCTCTGTATACTGATCACTTTCTATTGCACAGAGGAGCCATGGAATGAGTCAGAGAGAGCTGAGTATAAATCTTAGCTCTGACACATATGAAAGACAGTAGCTGGCAAGTAGGCCTCAGTTGCTTGATGTGAAAAATGGGAATAACGATGCCTGCTTCACAAAGGTGCTGTAAGGAGCCAGTGAGCAATGCATACAGAAGTGCCTGGCATGGAGCATGTGCTCAGTCAATGCTGCTGGAAGACATGATCCAAGAATGAGCCTGGCAGTGCCAGGGTTTGACCGACAGTCCTTGCTTTACACTGGTATCTTCCGTCTGTATTTAATGAGCACCTCTTATGTGCTGAACACTATGCTAAGCTCTCCAGGATTTCTCTCATTCAATCATCATCACCATGCCCATGAGGTCAGCCATGAGGAATCGAGTTTCAGAGAGGTTAGCTAATTTGTCCAAGTCACACAGCTGAAGAGGAGGTGAGATTTGAACCCCGTGCTCCCAGTCACTATGAGACACTGCTTTCTCTTGTGAAAAGAGACGTGAACGTTGCTACAACCCCAGTGCAGGCTTTGCTGTGATAGAGGAAAGGAGTGATGGAGAGGGTGGGGACAGTCAGAGTCTAAGATGATGCACTGAAGCACTTTTACCTTCAAGGTTATGAGGGTTACACTCTTCTCCTTGTGTAAGATTATTTATTCTGAGAGGCTATACTGATGCAAGGCACATGGATCTCCTCCAAAAATGCAAAGTCAGTAGCTGTAGCTGAATCTCAAATCAAGAAATCTAGAATGGGGTCCTGGATCTGCTTCTTAGAATCCAAGTATCTTTGCTCAAGTCCCTTAAGCTCTCTGCCTTCAGGGCCCCGTGTTCCTGGTCTGGATAACAGAGATGACACTTCTCATTTTACCTTTTTACTGCAAAAGTGGTCTTTGGAGATTCAAATGGGAATGAACATGGAAGTACTTTGTCACTACGACTTTCTGTACAAATACAAATTACCACTGTTCCTACTGATAGTTTTGAAGATTTTCAGTGTGATAAAGGAAGTGGTTGGAAGTCCCAGGCTGGTGGTGGACTTCAGGAAGACTGACTTAGCACCCATGGCAGGCAGGGGACAATATATATCACCAGCCTTTGAAGGATGGTTCAGTGCATTCAGAGCTCTGAGCTCGTACTGTTTGGTTAGAAGAGGGCACTTTAGGGGAACAGCCCTTTGAAATTCAACTGTAAACATAATGGGTTCCATTTATTTCAGGTTTCAACTTTTTCCCAGCTGAGACCCAAGGTCAGAACCTGCTGTGTCACATTCTTTGCTTCTATATGTGGGGGAAAAAACAGCCCCTGTGAAAGGTCACTCACTGGGTGAGGCCGGCAAAGGAGGAAGAAGATGACCCAAGCGTCATTAATTACTCTGGGTGATTTCCTCATCAATCAAGACTTTCCCAAATACCTCCTAGAAACTAGAATAACCAGGACTGTATTCTGAATTTCCCTGCTCTGGAGGGATGGCTCAGAGTCACCCTCTCCAGGGATTTCCAGGGCTGACCGAGAGGATGACTGTGCCTCAGACTGTCAGAGATAAGGGAACACCCAAGTTGCCCTCTGTCAGCCTCCGGGCCTCTTGGAGGGAGAGCCATCTAATACCCCAGATAGGGGACACTCACTCCCTCACTTTGTTAGACACCCTCTAAGCACCATCAGCCTCCAGGTGCTTCTCACTGACTGCTCAAGGGTCTCCAGCACCACTGGTTTTGTGTCAATTCCAAGACACCCCTTCCCAAAACTAAATCCCCCATATTAGGGGGATGAAATGATATAAGAAAAAGGACATAGCTTTAGGCATCAAAGAGAAAGGCTTGATTTCCAAAATTCAAGAACAAAACTGGATCAAAAATTCATCAGCTGTGTGACTTTGAGAAATTTAATTGACCTCTCTGGACCTCTGTGCACTTACCTTTAAAACAGATAATAATCATCAGTACCTTTCTGGATTGTTGTAAAGATCCAAACTAACATAGAGAATGTGCTTGCACAGAGTAGGCATTCAATATCAGTAGTCTCTACATGGCAAGATTCAGTCATTTTAGAAACACGTATTGAGGGCTTTCTTTGGGTCAGTTGCCCTGCTGGGTGCTGCACATAGGAGAGCAGAAGAGAGGACTAGAAAGAGCAAGGGGGGACTTCCCTGGTGGTCAAGTGGCTAAGATGGCATTCCCAGTGCAGGGGGTTTGGGTTCAATCCCTAGTCAGGGAACTAGATCCCACATGCTCCAACTTAAAGATTCCATGTTTCCACAATGAACGATTTTGTGTGCTGTAACTAAGACCAGGTGCTGCCAAATAAATAAATGAATAAAAATAAATATTTTTTAAAAAGAGAGAAAGTGGGCTTTGGTCTCAAAGATCTGGGTTCTAATCCAAATGTTTACCAACCTGGTGTCCCTGGACAGTGGGCGGGTTGAACCTCCCTCATCTCACCTCTGCACCAGGATGGTGTGGGGGTTAAATGAGATGATGCGCACCACGTGCTGAGCCCAGGGCCTCACTCAGCATGAATTCTGAGTAAGTGGGAGCCACACTGCAAGAGTTAGGGATGCTGAATATGTGAAGAAGTTAGCGCCAGGCCAAGTTCAGGCAGTTCAGTGGACATTTCATTATGCAGAATTTCAAGTAATCTTATTTAAGGCTATGGTTTCTCACCCTGGACTCCATGGGCTATTTCCTTTGTCCACTTATTTTCCCAGGGAAATAGACCCTTGAACGTAGAGGGGGAAAGTCCTGTCCCTTTAGATTCACTGTGTTGTCTTTAAGAGTAGAAGGGGGTCAAGGCTGGGGTGCAGGGCCAGATCCATCTGGCTACTGTTCAGAGTGGGGAAACCAAGGCAGAAGATCAATGGTATAGATGGGACATCAGGGAGGGGAGCGGAGTGGGGGTTCAAGGGGGCAGACGGAGAAAACTCGGTAGGCATAAGGGCTGCCTGGCCCTGCAGATACGGGGCAGGGACAGCTCTGGGACCTCTGAGCCCACCCCCAGGAGTCACACCCAGCTCAGGAACTGCTCAGGGCTGAGTCCATCCAACCAGGGTTTCTGTGGGCCTGAGAAAGGCAGCCGCTGACAGAGACATCACACTAGTCATAGCCTTTCTTCATTTGAGCCACTGATCCAGGGAGAAGCTGGAGGGAAAAGAATAGTTTCATTTTCTCCCTGTCCTGTAATATCCGTACAAAGTGCCTGACCTTCCTGTTTCAGGTAATAGCTTAGAGGAAAGTCATGCTTCTCAACCCAGTCTCCCAGGGTTATATAAAAACGCAGATTCTGAGTCTGTGGGTCTGCGTGGAGCCTGAAATTCTGCACCTCTAATGAGTTCCCAGGTAATGCTGAGGCCTCTCTGAAACTCTCCGCCCACGAACCATGTCAAAATGTTAGAGAAAATATTTTAAAACATATCTTTAAATCAAGGAAGGGGAACCTAAGGCCAGGAGTGAAGCCAAACCCAAGTCTGAGTGGAAGCTTGTGAAAAAATAGTCACATTCTCGGGGGGCCCAGCACAACCTTGTGGCCTAGAACTGCCACACACAGAACTGTGCTGGGAAGACAGGAGGATGATACACAGCCTTCATTCTGTACCCATGCAGGCTGGGGAGTCACGCTTGAGACCCTTCCACATAAAGCCAGGATTCAGGAAGGGCTACCCTAAGGAACACAGGAGAGATAAGAATTGCAGCAGCAACAAAATGAAACAAAAACTAGGAAAAGTTTCTGGGTCAGTCTTGATTTGGGGGAGCTGGAGAAAAAAAATTGTCTTCTGAGATTTGAGAGCTACAGGCTGCCCCTTGCTTGATGCAGGAGTCTGAAATGACAAGGCAGCCTGCCTTTAAGACCTCTCCAATGATCCTTTAAATTTCAAGTGGACCATGGTCTATTCTGTGTCCAGATGCCTGGAAACAGTCACAAGTCCTCCTGCAGGAAAGCATCTCGAGCCAAACCACACAGGGTTATCGTAGAAAACCACCTCCAAAAGGGCCTCACCATCCAAATCTCAGTGCATCCAAGGAGACAGACCACCATGAGCGAGAGACAGCGGGAATAGTGCACTGCAGAGTCCGGCCCACAAAGACTTCAGATATTGGGACAGAGACGAGTGAACAATTATGCTAAACGTGCTTAAAGAAATAAAAAGAAAATAAAAAGTGAGTAGAGAGTAAGGGACTATAAAAGTGACCAGGCAGATTCTTTTTTTTAAAGTGCTACTAATGATGAACAAGTTTCCCCAGCTTCCTGTATTGAAGCCAACAACGCATTTTCCAATACAAAAACGTTTGAAACGTGTCCACCCCTCCCTGGCCATTAAATGCAGCCTGCTCACACCTGCCCTGTGTCAGCAGCAAGGAATGTTATTGAAAATATTTTTCCAGAATCATCTCTCCACCTGGCCCATCCTGTCTTGGGTTACTCCTCCCAGCTCTGGGATTCTCCACCTTCCTTCCCCAGCTCCCAGTTCCTGTTTTGGGCCCTCCTCCTCATTTAAGTGACACATCCAGACATTCCTCGCATCCCTTCTCAGCTCCGCAGGAGCCCTTCTTTCATAGTGGGACCCTTTTTCCCAGGGGAGGATCTCAAACGTGACTGCGCTAGCAGCAGCTAATAATCCCGCCCCCTTCGACCATCATCACCTGCATACGTGTTTACAAAGCGCCTCTTGTTGTCTGCCAACGCACTGTCATTCTCATAGACAGAGTAGGCTCAGAGCCATCACAAAGTGGCTAGAAGCCAACAGAACCAGGATTCAAAACAGGGCTCACCCCCCGTGACCCTCCCTTGGCCCCGCACACGTTCTACTACTCCGCGGCTGCTTCTAATGACAGCAATGATCAGTTACCAGGCAACACTCTCTGTTCCCTTGTTATGTCAAACCCTTCCCAGCCTTCATCGATCTGAACAGACATCTCCTTAGTCTTACCCAGTCGGTTAGGAAATCTCTGGGGAATGGCCAAATACATATTTATGATCAAGAAAATGTTAATTTATATCCCATCTGTCTGAAGATAATCTGTCTCTGGCTTCAGTCAATGGAGACATATGAACAAGTCACCCTAAGCAAGAGTCGGTGTAAGCTTAGCAGACAAGAAGAGGTGTGGGAGGGAGACAGGGTCCCATGCCACTTCCCTTCCCCGTCTCAAGGCAATATCTCAAAATCCCACAGGAAAGCTTTTTATTTATTTATTTATTTTTACTCTCAGAGACACGAAAGACCACGATACATGACAGTATGCATAAATGCGACAAATCCTAGGCAAACTGTGAAATTTGAGTTAAGGTTCTGTTAGTTTCACTCCTGGGAGAGTTTTCCAGCCAGAAACGGAAAAGGAAATTTACAGGCGCCCTCTTGTGGGAAGATCTAGCACTGCAGGGCCGCCCGCAGCCGCTGCCTTCATGAAGTGTACATTCCAGAGGAGGCAGGGGAGGCAAGGAACGAGCAGATAAATGGGCAAGCTCCTCTAAGAGAGTGAAAGTAAAGAACATAAAACAGGGTGAGGTGACACTGTCTGGGTGGAGGGGGTCTGGGTAGGGGTACAATGGGGGGTGGGACGGCTGAGCTAAGCCCATATGAAAAGAAGGTACTAACCACGCGGAGATCGGGGGCCAGTGTGCCTTGCACTGCACAGGTCTGCGGGCATGCCTGAGCACAGATCAACCAGAGTGCAGGTCATGCAGCGCAGAGAGAACTCCAGGCGGTGAGAGTGAAGGAGCAGACACCTGTGTGCCCAGTCGCTCAGTCGTGTCCGGCTCTTTGCCACCCCCTGGACGGCAGACTGCCAGCTCTTCTATCCATGGGGGTTCTCCAGGCAAGAATACCGGAGTGGGCTGCCATTCCCTCCTCCAGGGGATCTTCCCAACGCAGGGATCGAACCTCGGTTTCCTGCATTGTAGGTGGGTTCTTTACCATCTGAGCCCCCAGGGAAGACACCTCTGGGAACACCCATATGGCGCAGGTGGGAAAAAGAGGTCCCTCGTACACTTTCAGAACATGACGCTCACTCCCGCACCTGCCCGCGTGGCAGGTCCTTCAGCAAATCCAGCCAGCGCTGACGCAGACCATCCACCTCCACTCCTACGGCAGGCTCCTAATGGATCTCCTTGCCTCCTGCAAGGCATTCTTCTGTCAGCAGAAAAGTAATCTTTTCAATGATAGGGTCTCCCTCTTGCTTAAGCTCTTCAGTGACTGTGTGCTTAGCATAAACCCCACTCAGGCCGTCCTTCTCCCTGTCTCAGCTGCAGCCATAGTAGAAGCTAACCTTTTCTGCCACCGGACCTTGGCACCTACATCAGGAATGCTTTCCCCCTGCTTCTTACCAGGTCTGGTTCCCTTTTATCCTCCAGGGTTCAGCTTAAACTTCCTAAAGAAGCCCCCAGGTTACTTCAGATCCCAGCAGCATATAGATTTCCTTCATGGTACCCACCACCCTGCATAACTATTTTATTTAGTCATTGTTTTCTTGCTCTTTTTCCAGGTCGGTTTGGACCTCCATGAGGGCAGAGACCATAGCATTTTTATCTACCACTGGGTCTTCTGTGCCTCTGAGCTCCTGGCATTTAAGTGATGTTTGTGGAATGAACAAATGAGCCCCAGGAGATGGGAGCCCATGACGATCTTAGCAATAACCTAGCCCAGTACCTTTCAAATTTCATTTTTAGGACACAGAGCCTCCTTCCAAATGGAATCCTACGCAGAGTCTCAGTGCTGAGACAGTAGACATGAGCCTTGCCCTTTAGGTTCAATGTTTGTACCACCAAGAGACCGGAGTGATGCTGTGGGCTCTTGAGAAATCCCCCCAGGCGGCTGAGTTGTCCTCAACTGCCCCCCAGCCCCTCCATTTCTCTGGCTGCTTGCCTCTGTTTTATTTTTTTTCCTTGCCTCTGTTTTTTTTTTTTTTTTCCTTGCCTCTGTTTTGACCCTCAGAACAGAAGCAGGATGGGACATGGCATTCTGAATGGTCATAAGCAGTTTAGGAAGAAGTTAGAGTTAAATTTTATTTTGGAGGAAATTTACACAAGGAACATATTTGGGAATCTGATGATGCACCCCTGGGGTGTGTGTGAGTGCTGTGGTTTTTACTTCAAAGACCAGCAAGTGATTGTGGGCTCAGGCAAATTGGGAGAATTCCCCCAGCAGCCCTGCATATGCAAAAGAGGGGTCACGGACCACCCCCTTCTGAAACCAGGCTGCACAGCCCAGTGGGCTCAAATGGAGCATGAGGCAGCATAGGCCCGGCTCGCAGGGTGGCTGGGGGTCCTGGGAAGGCGCCCAGGCATGTTAGATGCCTTTTATGCTCCGCTTCACATATTCTAGGCTCACCGTTTTACCCTGGGCATTGCTGAGGTGATCAGGGTTATAACAGCTGCACAGAATATCTTTTGCTTTCTGATGGCTCCTTGTTAGCTGTGTGATCTTGGGCAAGTTGCTTAACCTCTCTCTCTCACATTTATCATCTGGAAAAGGTGGGTGATAAAGGTATTCACTTCATATGGTGGCAGTGAAGATTAGGTGAGTTAAAACATGTGAAGTGCTTATACCAGTGTCTGATACAGAGTGAGGACTATCAAAAAGAGAGACATTGCTACTACTATTATTATTATTATGACTAATCCAACTGGGGCTGGGGCTCCTGGCTAGAGGAAGGAGATGGACCTCCTCACTCCAAGTCTGCTGAGCGGAGGCCTGACTTGCTATGGATGGGAGCTGACTGCGACCCTCGGGTGAGAGCGGGGCGGGGAGGACAAGAACTTCCATTTCTCAAAGGTGTAGAATCTCTGAAGATTCTAACATCTCAGGGAGAAGATATGCTTGCTATCTCCTCTTTAGAGGTGAAGCGATCAAGGCTTAGAGAGGCGGTGAGAGTTGCTGGAGGTCGCGTGGCCGGGAGCGGCTGAACAGGGCTCCAGCCAGGCCCACGAGCCTGGGCCCAGTCTCCACGGCCACCGTGGGAGGGTGCAGAGGCCAAAAGGGGAAGGACATGTGTGTCCCCCTGTGCGAGTAACCCCGAGGTCGTCTCTCAGAAGGGATTTTAACCTTCAGCTGCAGCAGCTGCCCTGCCGCGTGCGTGTATATATGCCACCATGCACTGCGTACACCCTGGGGCCCCCAGAGGTGCGTCCCCCTCCCAGCTACAGCTAACGAGTTCACACGCCGTGCAGGTCTTGCTTTCTACACTGCTATTTCAACTCTTGCCAGACATCGCCCCTCTTGGCATGACACTGGACAGGTCTCTGTAAAAAGTCTTTGCTCTCTCAGCAGCCAACCTTATAGTTTATTTTCTTTTTTCTGAGTTTCCGTTTTATTTTCTTTCTAATCAAGGTGTGAAAAAGTTCTAGGTTCAGTTGAAGTTCCTGGTGAAGAAAGACAACTGAGATTTTTTCTTCACTGATTAAAATCTGCATATTTGTATTTCAAACAATACAGCTAAAACTTGATTTAAAAATTCCTTTTTTTCCTATTTTGGCTTAATGAGTATCACTTACTCAGTAGGAAATCTTTACACTACATGTTCCTTATGTTAAGAATAAATGTACATTAAATCACGGTTTAAAAAAAAAGGAAAAAGATGTAGCCCTATTGCTCCCTGATTGGGAGTGTCCAGAGAAGGTGGAGGGAGGCCTCCCAGAGCCCCCCAACACAGGGGCTTGCCTGTTGGGGCTGAGAGGATGGTGGGTCCTGAACACGTCCCCTCTCCCACCCAAAGTACACCCGGGGTGGCTGGGTTCTGAGGGAGGTGGGAAAGGGGAGGGTCTGTTGGAAAGAGCACTAGCCCAGGTGGGAGTCAGGAGCGGATTTCAAGCCTGGCTCCTTGTGCCAATGCCAGCACCCAGAGCAAGACCCTCAAAGTAACGGGTGCTCAATCCCATATTTGTTGAACAAATGGATGAATGAACCCATGGCTGCAAGACATGGTCCCTGCTCTTGGGGGGTTTCCAGCCTGGAGGACAGACCCATGAATGTTACTGCAGAGTGGGGTGCACTCTCTCCAATCTAGGGGCAGTGCTCAGGAGCTGCATGAGTCAGCCAAGGAAAGCACCCCGTGAACCGGGATATATTCCAAGAAGGGAGCGTGTTGGTCCTAAAGGTGATTTGGGGAGGCAGAGAAGAGGGCTGAGCGCAGAGTATTAGGAGGCCCGCAGGCCCAGAGTCTCAGAGGCAGCACCGGTTCAGCATTTGGAAGGCACACGAGAAGGAGGTCTGATGCTGCTCAGATCTCTGTATTTGGAAACGTACTCTGCTCCAGCAAGACCCTGCCTGCCATTCTCCCAAAGGGCACAGTTATCTAGAACTGGGCCCAGCCCCACAGCCCTGGTTTTCCCAACTCCAGCCCCATCCAAGGAGCTGGCCAAGGACAGAGAACTGTAGGTTCAGGGCCCACAGGACAGAGAACTGTAGGTTCAGGGCCCACAGGTGTCCTCCCCCCAGCAACCCTGCCCCTCAGGGAGCTGCAGGCTGACGCTGAGCCCAGGCCGGGCCTGCACCTTGCCCTCCTCCTCCTCCTCGGCCGGTTGCCCAAACTGTCATCACAGGGTTCACACACACCCTACCCACCCCGCCCTGGACAAATCCCACTGTGTACCTCTCCTGCCCTGCCCTGGCCAAGCAGTGGCAGAGGAAAGCCAGAGAAAACCAGACTGGCAGGCAGCCAGGCCTCAGCAGCAATGCGGGGAGGAGAGGGTGACTGGGGAGTCATTTGGGTTCCCTGGAGCTAGAAAGCCGTGGAAGGGAGCTGGTCTCTGCGGGGACCCAAGGGCCATGTGCCTCACCCACTGACCCTGTGAGGGCTAAGAGAACTTCGTCAGCTCTAACAGTCCTTTTGGGGGATTCCCTGGTGGCTCAGATGGTAAAGAGTCTGCCTGCAATGCAGGAGACCTGGGTTCGATCCCTGGGTAGGGAAGACCCCCTGGAGGAGGGCATGGCAACCCACTCCTGTATTCTTGCCAGAGAATCCCCGTGGACAGAGGAGCCCTGCAGTCTACAGTCCACGGGGTCGCAAAGAGTCGGACACAACTGAGCGACTAAGCCCAGCACAGTGCAGAACAATGCTTTACATCTTTACAGCCCACGTTTACGTGAAGTATCAACTCTAACGGAGACGCAGCACCAGCGGTGGAAACACACTCCGCCTGAAGAGCCGGGCCTGGCCCACTGCTCCGCCCCAAGGACTCACAGCGGCAAATGGGATAATAAAGATGATGGGGACGAAGACGAGCACGTTCCTGACAATCCGAGGGCTTTTCTCCTGTGCTGAGCACCCACTTGTGTTTGAGGACCTTGCAACAAGCCTATTAGGGGACACAACCCTCTCACATGTGAGGAAACGGGGTCAGTGAGGTTAAGCAACTGAACTGGTAGCAAATTTAAGTCAGTAATCCTTAGATCCAGGATTTGAGACAGGGAATAACCATTCCAGAGGTTGATTTCATAGACACTGCCCTAAACTGGCAGGAATAGCTGTCCTCACTGCCATCCGTGAATAACCATCCCGAAGCAACAGGAGCCCCTTTGCCGTCCTATTTAATCTGACCTCTTTCCAGACTTCATGAACGTGAGCCCCCTGCTGGCCGGTCCCGGGTAACACGAGCCCCATAATAATCATCGACTGCCACCTAGTGGCGCCGTGAGGAATGTCACATTTCTTTTCTTTCACTTCATCAGATGCGATCCTTCAAAAACCAAAATGTTAAAAACTGCTTTTTGCTTCTCCTTGCTTCAACATCCCTAAGAATAACTGCAGACACATGTTATTCCAATTTTATGAATGATAAGATACAGACCCAAGGGAGTTAAGTAGCTTCTTGAGGATCACATGATGAAGATTATACAGAAGTAACGGGTCAGAATCATTTATTTAAAGGGTGACCTTGAGTAAGACATTTTATTATTTATTTTTGGTGGACACCAAAAAAACCCCTCTGCTACAATAACAATTTTTCTTGGCTTTATTTAATAAAAAGTTCCTCCTTTACCCATTAAGTTCCCATGCTAACTCTACTATATTTCAGTTTGGTATTTGAGTGAATCTTTCTGGGCTGTCTTTTGCAATCTACTGATAAATCTGTCTCTCTCTAGGTCCGTACCATATAGTCTTAACTGCTACAGCTTCATACTAAAGTGCAGGTCCCCTCTCCTCAAGCTTCTTTTTCAGAAATACATTACTTTGCCAACAAAGTTCAGTCTAGTCAAAGCTATGGTTTTTCCAGTAGTCATGTATGGATGTGAAAGTTGGACCATAAAGAAAGTTGAGCACCAAAGAATTGATGCTATTGAACTGTGGTGTTGGAGAAGACTCTTGAGAGTTCCTTAGACTGCAAGGAGATCAAACCAGTCAATCTGAAAGGAAATCAGCCCTGAATATTCATTGGAAGGACTGATGCTGAAGTTGAAACTCCAATACTTTTGCCACTTGATGCGAAGAAGTGACTCATTGGAGAAGACCCTGATGGGAAAGATTGATGCCAGGATGAGAAGGGGACGACAGAGGATGTGATGGTTGGATGGCATCACCGACTCGATGGACATGAGTTTGAGCAAGGAGTCGGTGATGGACAGGGAGGCCTGGCGTGCTGCAGTCCATGGGGTCACAAAGAGCTGGACACGACTGAGTGACTGAACTGAACACAACTGAGGACTTTACTCTGTGATGCTCACTCCTTATAAGCAGGGTCCATGACAATGCCCTGCACAAAGCAGCAATTCAGTAAATATCTGAGAATGAATTTACATGATGCTTGGAGGAAAAAGATATTCCAAATTAGGAAAACTAGACACTGATTGTCCCAGCTTTTTCATTTCTAGACTCCCCAGGCGATGTTCCCTGACAGTAGATCTGAATGGCTGACGGCTGGAAGGACACGGAATGAAGGACCAGACATGAATGAAGGAGCCAACCAGACACTGGCTCTCCCCACTCAGATGATCTTGGCCACAGGCTTCCCTGACCACACAGCTGCTCAGGAGCCCTGGGACGCCTGTCTCCATGATCTGCTGACTTTCGGAGGAGCCTAACCCTTGAAGGAGCAAGAACAGATGGACGTGAAAGACAAAGGAATGAGAAGAAAAGAATTCAGTAAGCCTTCTTTCTCCTCTACTCCAGTAGAAAGTCAGCTCAGAGCTGCCTTGAAGCAGGAGGCCCTTCCTGGAGCCCCTGACTCTGTAGGAGACTTCTGGTCCTCTGGCTGGGATAGCCCAGGAGATGGGCTCTTCACACCGGCTGCCTTACCTGGTGTTACCAAGAGTCTGAGAAGCTGTGTGATTCTCTATGCGAGGATCACAGCAGTTTCCTGAGGGAGTCCCAGGCCTCCTGCCCTCCTCAAGCTCTCCCCAGCTTGCCGAAGCCGCTTTCATTTGCTGAATCCTTGCAACTCTTTCTCCCTCCATCCAACCAGTTCAGACTAACCTTGATCCAGCATCCCAAGGCAGGGCCACCAGAGATCAAGGGTCATTCTGATTATGCACTCGTGGTCCTCCATCCCTGGTCAAAAACAGCCAAGACTAGCGAAGCCCACCCTCCAAAATGGTTTTTATAGAAAGGACCTTGCAACCCAGAAACTGTCCCCACCCCCAAGTCCAGCACATTCTGCTTCCACTTTCTTGGACGCCCCTGGGATTCTCTGTGTTCACGGCGGCCTGGTCCTCCACTCTCTCAATACACTGCTTCCCAAACAGTACAGGACTTGGAAACTGATCTAAGTCAACTCCAGGTACATTCTACTTCCCACAGGGCTGGGCTTCTTAACTGTTGGGTACATTTTATTATTTTTAATATATTTATTTATTTGGCTGCACCAGGTCTTAGTTGCAGCATGTGGGATCTAGTTCCCTGACCAGGGATCAAACCCTGGCCCCCTGTATCGGGAATGCAAGTATTAGCCACTGGACCACCAGGGAAGTCTCATGTTGGGTGCATTTTAAAGTGGAGTTTAGTCTGTCCAATATTCTTTGCCTTCATTTTGGTTTGCTCTTCCACTGTAAGATGTTTCTCACAGTGAAGCCTTTAAAGGTCTCTGCCCAGAATCACTGTCCAACACTCATCTCTCCAACTTGTCTATTCAATCACTAATTCATTCATGCCTGTAAGCACAAATGTATGCACTTCTAGTAAAAAAAAATTGCTGAGCATTGAGTCAGGCACTAGCGCAGGCCCTGGGACCCAAAGATGTGTTCATTCTTCTCAAAGACCTCATAGTACAACAGGAGAGAATCATGTCCCCAGATGCTTAAAGTACATTGCGATAAAAGCTTTGATATGGACATATTTGTGTGAGCAGAGGGCAGACCCAAATGAAATTCATTATGGGACATTACTGGTTCAAATAACTATTCCTGGAGTTGGCAAGAAAGGCTGGCTCCAGGAACAGTGGGATCCAGAGTCCAAATGACATCATCAGGATATTTCCCTTCTCCTGGTTTCATTGCATCTGCTTGGCTTTCAGTGGCTGGTAATAACTGCATGGCATGGAATGAGATCCAGGGAAGAGTCCCCGTCTTCCAAAACGTATATCTGTGCAAGTTCATGTACTAAAATCAGCTACACACACACACACACACCCTTCCCCCAACACATACTCCCCAACAAAGTTGTCCTTTATAGGGAGTCTCCAAATGACACTGCCCTGCATTCTCAATTCTAATGGAAAGAATTCTAACATAAATAAACTCCGGGGCCATGGAGAGTGGCCTAGATTGCTGAGCATATCTCCGTTACGGAAAGGGGAGCCTCTGGGAACCACTAAGGCCCTAACAGATGCGAGTCATCCCGGGATGAAGCTTGGCCTCTCTGAGATACCCATCTGAGGCCTCCACTTTCTCTGGTACAAAACAAATCCAAGGAGAGAGGAGGGTACATGAAGAAACCTCCACAGGTACCAAAGATTTTCATTTTAGATTCATCACAGCTAGAAACCATCTCATTTTACAGATAAGGGATTAGGACAAAACAGATTCCACAATTAAAAGGGTCAAACTAGAAATATATTACATGTTACATAAACAGCATAAATAGTTGGATAGTTTGTGTGCATGAATCAAAGTATTCATGCAGTTGTTTCCATGTAGAGATCTGACTAGAGCTTTGTATTTTCATCTATATTCTGTATATTCTCCTCTCAGTAGCCTGAGAGGATTTTCTGAAGCACAGAGCTGATCAAGTTACTTCCTCCTTTAAATTCTTTACGTCAACCCCCTTGGCTCTCAAAAGGAAACTCATATTTCCTATTATGGCTACTTTAAGCTCTGCATGATGCAGCAGGGCTAGAAAATAGAGTTTTTAGACAACCCAAAGTTGGGAAGTTTAACAAGCGTGCCCCATGAAAAACTGGGACCTCAAAAGACTAAACCTTAGTGTATTTCTCATTAGTAAGAAATAAAACCACCAAGAAATTGTTTGACCAAGCTTGGATCTAGCAAACAGAAATTTTCTCTGGAGAACTTGTTGCCATAAAAAGGGCTGTGGTCCAAACTCATATAACCTGTGGTCTCGCTAAAGCTACAAATGACAGGTGAGGTTTCTGGGGACATCATGAGAGATGAGAGCCCTGCTGGGACGTTCCCCCAGTCCATCAGCAAGAGAAAACACAAGTTCTTTTCTGGAGGAACTCAACGATAATTCAGACCTGAAAGAATTCCCACAGATAAAGTACCAAAGGAAGTGAGCAGCAAACAGTCTAAAATCACAAATACACAAAGAAGCAAAGCTCATCACAAAGTGACAGAGAAAACAACAGACAGTAATATCAGGCATACACCGACTTCAGCATTGGAATTTTCAGACAGAGACTTTTAAGATTGCTGTGCTTAATAGGGTTAAAGACATAAAAGAGAATTGACAAGGTGAATCAGCATCAAGACCAAGCCAGAAACTGACCAAGCAAATGTCAAAACAAAGTCTCAAGCAGATTATCTAGAAACTAATAACATAAAAATTGCATTTAAAATTCAGTGGATGAATTAAACAGACAATTAGACACAGAGGAAAAGAGACTAGAAACCTAGAAGATCCACCTGTAGAAATTATCAACAAAGCTACCTAGGAGCCAGACAGACAGAAAACAAGAAAGAGATGTTAAGGGATGTGGAGACTAGAAAGAGAAACACTAACATATGTTGGATGAAACTTCCAGAGAGAGGTAATAATAAAAATGATTATAGGAGCTAGCAAGTATATAGTATTTACCATGTGTCCCTGTTCTAAACTATTGTGTAACTAACTCACTAATGTTCACGAGAAAACCTATAGGTAGGTAATAATGTCATCCTCACTTCACAGATGAGGAGTAATATCATCCCCATTTTACAGATGAGGAAATTGAAACACAGAGACGTTACAACATTTGTCCAAGTCTCATAGAGACGCCAAGTAGCTTGGCTCCATAGTTTGTGGTCTCAACCACTATGCAACATATGAAGAAATAATAGCAGAAAACCACCCAGAAATGCTAAATGACAGTAATCTTAAAATCCTGGAAACATCATAAACCCCAAATGTGATATAAGAAATAATAGCAGAAAACCACCCAGAAATGCTAAATGACAGTAATCTTAAAATCCTGGAAACATCATAAACCCCAAATGTGATATAAGAAATAATAGCAGAAAACCACCCAGAAATGCTAAATGACAGTAATCTTAAAATCCTGGAAACATCATAAACCCCAAATGTGATATAAAGAGAAAGCCACTAGACACATTTTGATGACAGTGAACCACATCAGAGAAAAAAGCCCTTAGGAAGGAAATAGGCAGATCACTGAAAGTGACTGGCAGCTTGACTGATGGCCAATCTCACAAGAACGACATTGGCGGCCAAAGACAGTGGATTTCCAATGTGCTGGAGAAGAGTAACTGCCACCCTGCGATGCCAGCCTGAAAAAACCACCTCTAGAAAATGAGGGTGAAACAAACGACATTTGCAGACAGAAAAAAACTAGGGCATTAACCCCACAAAGACTCTCACAAAAGGAACTTCTGAAGAATGTATTTCAAGGAATGGAAGATAAGAGATGCAAAACTGGAAAGAAAGAGTCACTCAGTCATGTCCAACGCTTTGCATCCTCATGGTCTGTAGCCCGTCAAGCTATTCTGTCCATGGGACTTTCCAGGCAAGAATACTGGAGTGAGTAGCCATTCCATTCTACAGGGGATCTTCCCAATCCAGGGATCAAACTCGGGGCTCCTGCATTGCAGACAGATTCTTCACTGCTGAGCCAGCAGGGGTGAAATGAGAAGTTGAGCAAAAACACACTAGTTTTATGGGGATCCATTTGAACAAACACTCACTATTTAAAACTCTTATTAAATATTTAATGTCTTGGAGGGGAGGACTACTGGAGCACTGTTGATTGGGAGGAAGGGGCTAGAGCTAAAGCTGTTAAGGTCCTGGTGCTGTTCATGAGGAAAGACAGTTGCACAGTTCGTCCACTGCACCAGACAAAGAACAGGGCAAAGGAGGGAATGAGTGTTAAGACAGAACCTGCTGGTCAACCCTTGTGTCCAGGTGCAGGGCTGTGACTACAGAGACAGCACCCCAAAGGCTGCATTTAGAGTCTGCGTAAGTATGTTAAGTAGCCACAGTAATTGCCTGAAAAATAGAGCATAAAACTTTCAGACAAATTAGAAAAAAAAAAAAATCTTCTGTAAAGCCAGTGACATTCTAGGCAGTACCAAACAACTTCATCTTCTGCTCCCATCTTTTGAGAAACATTTTTCAATGGGAAGGTTTAGAGACCTGCTCCTGCAAAGCTGGTGACTGTGATGACTGTTGGCCAGGCTCCCTGGTTTTCAGCCACACCTCTAGCCAGCATAGATTTGTAAAGTCTTATAAGCAGCTTCCCTTCGGGGGCCAAGCTTTGCCTGAGAGTGCCAAGCACACAGGAGTGCCACTTTCCTTACCCACTCTCGAACATTCAGTATCAAACTTTAGAATATTTGAAAATCTGAAGGTGAAGATATCCTGGCAGAGTTTCAGTAAACCTTCATCATCATGAGTATGACATTTTTTCTCATGCTTGATTAAGAAACATGGGTTTTGTAGGAACTGAGTTGGTTTTTTTCTTACTAGGCTGTTAAAATTCTCAGTGATGTGTCAGAAATATAGACATACACAATAGATAATTTTGTCCAAAATATGCATTATAAATTCTTTTCCCCAGTTCACTGTTTGACTTGCTTACTGTGGCCTTTTCCATGAAGAAAAATTATTTTTAATTTTCAATTTTTTAAAATTATTTTTATTAAATGTTTTTATTTATGATTTCTGAGTTTTGTATCATGTTTAGGAAAATCTTCCCCAATCCAAGGTTATAAAAGAATTTCCCCTGTGGTCGCCAAGGCGGAGGGGAGAAAGGAGAGGGATGGACTGGGAATCTGGGATTGATAGATACAAACCATTACATTTAGAATGGATAAACAATAAGGTCCTAATGTACAGCATAGGGAACTATATTCAATACCTTGTTTAAAACCATAGTGGAAAAGAAAATAAAGAAACTGAGTCACTTTGTTGTACAGAAGAGATTGGCACAACATTGTAAATCAACTATAATTCAAATTTTTTTAAAGGATTACTATTCCTCCCCTACCAATCAGAGAATACCAGAGTATTTATAGTTAAAATAAAACTCTTTGAACACAGAAAAAAAAAAAAAGAATTTTCCCATGTTTTCTTCTGACTCTTTTTGCTTCTCTTATTTATATTTAAATACACAATCCATTTTAAAGTTAACTCAGGGAACTCAAACAGGGGCTCTGTATCAACCTAGAAGGGTGGGATGGGGAGGGTGAGGGGAGGGAGGCTCAAAAGGGAGAGGATATATGTATACCTATGGCTGATTCATGTTGAGGTTTGATAGAAGACAGCAAAATTCTTTAAATCAATTATCCTTCAATTTAAAAAAAGTTAACAAGGTGTAAATATGAGCTATGATCCCTAAGGCATTTTACTCTAGATAGCTTCTCAGCTGCCCAATAACCTTTACTGATTTATTATTTTTATTATTTTATCTCTACCCGCTCCCATTTGAAATGGCCCCTTTATCATACACTGGATTCCACATGCATGTATGTTTGATTCCTGAGACTCTCAGTCCTGCTGCCTCAACCTCTGCCTGTTTTCATGTTAGCACCTCACTATATTCACTGAGGCTTTCGAGTATGTTCTAATATCTGGTAGGGCTGACCAGTCCTCATTTCTTTCTTTCTCTCTCCAGAAGTAGTTAAGGTTTCATTTTCTTTTTTTTTTCCCCCTCACTTTTTTTCATACCTAGGAAAGCTACTGTTTTCTTTTCTTTTTTTTCCATTTATTTTTATTAGTTGGAGGCTAATTACTTTACAACATTACAGTAGTTTTTGTTATACATTGAAATGAATTAGCCATGGATTTACATGTATTCCCCATCCCAGTCCCCCCTCCCACCTCCCTCTCCACCCGATCCCTCTGGGTCTTCCCAGTG